GCCAGCGGGTGCGGCAGCAAAGGCTTGTTGTTGAGCCACTTGTGATATCTGTGTTTCTAACATTTTGTTGTGGGTGGCTAAAGCGTCTACTTTTCCGGTCAACTGTTTAATTTGCTCGCTAGTGTGTATGTTTTGATTCAGGAATTCTTTGTTTGTTTGAGCTTGAGTAGCTATGAATTTTTCCATCATCAACTCGAGGTTTGATTTCCTAGGTGCAGTCTGAGCAATAGTTGGTTTCTGATATCCTGGCGGAGCAGTTGGCATTTGCAATGCATTATCGCTTTTGTAAGAAAAGTTTGGATGATTTCGCCAACCTAGGTTATAGGTATTTGCGTAAGGATTTCCTTGAGCATAATTTACTTGGTCTGGTGGGATTTCGGCCAGCAATGGGCATTCGGGCGCATTATGAGTGGTGATTCCGCATAATTCGCAGTTTGGAGTTACGGCAGCGGTGGTTGCAGTGGGGTTAACGGTCAGACTGTCAATCTTTTGTGCTAGAGCATCTACTTTAGCGTTGAACTTTTCAAGGCTGCTGATCTCGTACATCCCACCTTTCGCTGCGGGTTTCTCTGTTGGAGTGCGTTCACCTCCCCATTGGCAGTGGTTCTGAGACATGTTTTCGATTAGTTGATAGGCTTCATCGTATGGCTTATCCATAAGTGCACCGCCCGCGGCGGCGTCTACCGTTAATCTGGTGTTGTATAAAAGCCCATTATAGAAATCCGTAAAGAGATTCTGTATCTTTTTGTCGAAATCCGTTGATTTGAGCTCTAAGCATAGCAGTTTTGCTTGGCAGAAAATATCTCGCTAAGAAGACGTTCTTCAACTGTTCCCACGTCGTAACGGAGTTGGATGGTAGGGATTGTAACCATGTCCACGCTCTGTCTCTAAGAGAGAAAGGGAAAAGACAAAGTCTTATTGCGTCTGGAGTTACTCCATTTGCTTTCACTGTGTCTGCGTATTGTACAAACTTCGTTAAATGTTCGTTTGGGTCCTCGGTTGCATTTCCTGAGAATTGGTTTTGTTGTACAGCTGACAGCAATGAGGGTTTAAGCTCAAAATCGTTTCGAGTAATAGCTGGGGTAGCAATGCTACTTCTAGGCTCCATCTGAGAGGGTGTAGCGTATGCCTTCAGCGGTTTGTTTTGAGGTACTTCAGCCATCTTTGATTCTTCTTCAGATTTGGGAATGGGAGTGAGAGGATCGGGAATGTTATGTTTTAGTTGGTACTCAATGATGCGACTTCTTAAATGTAAGAAGCGCTCTAGTTCTGCGACTGAAGGTTTTAAGATATCGCCTTGTGGGCGATTACTTGGCATACAATCGACAGAACTAGTAAAGGAAAAATGAAATTGTTAACCTAGTCTATACGGCGTAACAGAAGGTTACACTATTGACTAAACGGGTCCCCGGCAACGGCGCCAAAAACTTGATCGCGACTTTCTATGTCTAATACAACTTAACTGCAAGTGCACAGTCTATCGCGTAGTAATAAAAGATATCGATCCCACAGGGACTCGTAATCAAACTAGTGTTCTCGGGAGTTACTATGTTTAGCTAGGTAGATAATGTTTAAGGGAATAATTTCTATCACTAAAGGGAACTAAAAACGTTACTTGAATTATAATTACGTGAATCGATATGCAGTAATTATGTTCTTCGGAGATTTGGCAAGTTACCAGTATATGAAATATTTTTCATTCAGAATTTATTTAAGCAGAAAATAGTGATCTGAAGACTTTCGTCTCACGATGGTTGTTGACGCTAGTCATAATTCTAAGGGCCGAATATATGCTTTCGCTGTCCCATTCGGGGTTAAAACTACTTTTTGGAAATCTCTAAGTTCTAATCCATTTTAAAGTGCTTTCGCTGTTATTAAAACAAATGCCTAGTGTTTACTATCTGGTCTTACCGCAGTTGTCGCTTGTTGGTTTGTACCTTAATTAATTTTCCACTGTCGTGGCAAAACTACTTTTAAATAAGTTCTCACTTTCGCGACGAACGTTTATTCAGTAAATAAGTTTAAACACTCAGGCCATAAACAACTTTTGAAAAAGAAAGTTTTTCAACCGGTTATTATCAAATCCCGTCTGAATTATTATTACATATCGATTACTCTGATTTAGCTAGACATGGATTTGGGAAAGGTAAAACATAAATAAAAATAGAAACTTAGAACATTCATATTGCTGAAAATTAAAGTTACAATTAACGAAATAATGAAAAACCTGTAACGTATCCAATTGGCTTTTGGCCAAATCCCAACGATGTCGGCAGGATTATGTCTTCAAACCAATTGAGCGCACAAATGAATATTGTCGAAATAGAATACAGGAATAAGGAAAGGAAACAAAAAAATAGAAAGAATAAAACTAAAGTTTTTGCTCTGGAAATAAAATTGGGCAGCACTTCGTTGTCTGAATGCGGCTCCCTTTCTCAGCTCCCCTCCTTCCCCTTTTATAGAAATAGAATTCTAACGGTTGTAATTTGAAGAAGGTGGACTTGGAGGCAGAAATATCAGGGAGTAGTGGTCCATTATTTGGGACTTGGAACTGCATTTTGCACGTTCATTTGAAGTTGTGCGTTTTTGCCTGCATGACGGTCGTCACGGTGTGTGACGGTCGTCACCCGTGTGACGGTCGTCATGGAGGTGTGACGGTCGTCACAGCAGGAAAATGTGCATTCTGCGTTTTTCATGTTGTTTTCATCTGGTTTTCGTCCATATTTCATCTGTAATTGCTTCTTTTCTTCATATTGCTTTGTTTAGACATGATCATCAAATACCTGCAAAATATCAGACAAATAACATGGAAAGAACCCGAAATCGGATCGAAAACAGTCAAACATTAGTTGAATTATGCATCAATATATATATACGATTTCGTGTTATCAGAAAGACGAAACAAGAACACATGTAAGGAACAGGAAAGGTGCTCACACCAAGCCGAGAAACCAATGAATTATCTGCGGACCTATCAAGATATCATTTACAAGCCAAGAAGATGATCAAATCTTCCACGTACTTTGGTGTCACCGAAGACCGACAAAATATTGTATCATTATGAGTTTTCCAAATCGACTAAACAATAGAATGCCAAATTATCCGCAACTCCCATCTAGTCCATTCACCCCCTAGCGAATGAAAAAACATATGAAAAGGGGTTAAAGTAACACTAGTAAAAACATCACACCACCCACCCATTGAAATCCTTGGCAAATCGTCTGCACTTCAAGCAACCTTTATATTCGTTCAACATGAATGAAGACAAAGTATTGGCTGAAGAGATGGATATGCTCAACACATTAATTCTTGATCTTAAAAATATCGTGGTCAAGATTGATGATGAAGATCAAGCATTGTTTTTGTTGTGTGCTATACCTAAATCTCATGCTCATATCCAAGAAACTCAATCGAATGGGAGAAATTTGTTGACCTTTGAAGAAGTTCAATCAGCCTTATACTCTAAGAATCTGAATGAAAGAAAGAAGCATAAATCATCTTCCGTTGGCGAATGATTGTCCGTCAAAGGAAATTTTTTGAAGAATGATGATAAGTTTGAGAAGAAGAAGGGTAAAGTTCCACAAAATTTTATGGTGGTAATACTCCTACAGTTAGGTGTTATCATTCTAGGAAGGGGGTCATACAAGAAAGGTGTGCCCTGATCGATCAGATAATCATGGTGAAAAGGATAATGGTAATGCAACCATTGTGCAAGATTATTGTGAATCATCAGATGTCCTGGTGGTTTCAAGCAGCGACTCTAGCAAGGAGTGGATTATAGATTCAAGTTGTACTTGACACATGACTCAAAACAAGGATGTGTTTGAGGAATTATGGGATCAAGATGGTTGATCAGTTATATTGAGAAACAATAAGTCCTGTAAGATTGAAGGAAATGAATCTGTCAGATTCAAGCTCCATGATGAGTCAATAAGGCTATTGAATGAAGTCAAGTATGTACCTGATCTTAAGATGAATTTGATTTATCTTGGTGAACTCCACAAGAAAAGATATGTTTTTAAAGGAGGGCAAAGTATCTTAAGGGTAATGAAGGGGTCGAAGGAAGTCTTTAGCGGCGTGAAGGAACAAGACTTGTATACCCTTAAGGTTGAGGTTGTAAGTGGTTTAGTAGATGTGGCATCCACAATACCTGTGTCAAAGAATGAGCTATGACACAAGATACATGGTCAGGTCAGTGAAAAAGGCCTAGTCAAATTGTCGAAATAAAATCTGTTGTGTGATAACAAGGTAAAAAAAAATGAGAGTTTTGTGAACATTGTGTATTTGGTAAATCCTGTAGGGTGAAGTTTAACAAAGGTAAACAAAGAACACATGGATCCCTTGATTATATTCATGCTGATCTTTGGGGGCCTGCAAGGAATCTTTCACACTCAGGTACAAAGTATTTTCTATCCATTGTTGATTATTATTCTAGAAAGTTATGAGTATTCATCCAGAAGACTAAGGATGAAACTTTTGAAAATATTAAAAGTTGGAAAATCCTGGTCGAAAACCAAACTGAAAGGAAGGTCAAGAGGTTTAAGACCAATAATAGTCTTGAATTTTACAATGAGGCTTTCGACACACCGCGTGAAATCTTGAAAAAGAAGGCCTTACTGGGTATCTCCAGCAGCCATGGTGAAATCATTTTAAGAGAACTATTTTTAAAATAATTTTTTTATAAAAATTATTCTATTTTCCAAAACAAAATAGTGGTATATAAAGTATACAAAATAAATTTATTTATTCCATGATCTCTTAATGAAGAAAGAGGAAGCATGAGAGAATACGAGAGAGATTTCATTTATAAACTACCACAATTCTTAAACTGATGATAGATAGTCTTGCAAGTTATACATACGATTAACTCACATAAATATTATTTTATTATTTGAGAATTATCATCATACTTAAAATAATGAGTCAGAAACTCATTAGTACATATTTTCTGATATTGCTTCTAGGCTTAACTGAAACATACGAAGATATGAATCATACACTTAATATGGCCTCTCGCCAATATAGTTGCCAGGAGGATCATAATTGCAAGTAATAAAAGTTCCTCCATTTTCACATTTCACTTTGGCACATCCAATTCTCACTGTGTTTTTCCAAACAACTTGTGTATAATGGCCACACATCTTACCAGCAGCACATGAATTGCTATTATAATCATAGTAGGATTTTTCATCAACCCAATACTTCACTGCATCTGTGCCGCTCATGCCACCGGTGCTCATTGAAAGATTCTCCCCGTAACCGCCATCATCACCGGAGTGGATCAGCTGACAATCCTTGCGTTGATTAGCATAACTCTGGGCAAACGCAGCGACAGTGTCGTCCCAAACTATATGTGACACTCCGACCACAGATCTTGCTGCGTTGTGGGCGTTCACGTAGTCGGTTGGTGAGTCTTGTGCATGGGCAACATGACTACCCACAATGAAGGACAAGGCCAAGACACACAATAGAAAAAATGAACTCATTTTAGTTATTTCAACTAATATAGAAATGCTATATGGGGCTTGATGAAAAATGATGAAGCTCTAATGATGTATTTATATAAAAAATTTACATGAAAATTTGGTAGTAAGCAATTGAGAAGTTGCATGTGTTAGAATATTCAAAACTGAAATTGCGTCCATGAGTCTAAAAACTAGGCTCTTGATTCCACCATAATTATAGAGGAGTGGCAATTGCGTCCATGATTTCCAGCATAACACAAGTTGCATGTGTTAGAATATTCAAAAATGAAATTGCGTCCATGAATCTAAAAACTAGGCTCTTGATTTCCACCATAATTATAGAGGAGTGGCAATTGATGATCAAATAATAATAATCAACATGATTATCCAAATTAAGTTATTATGAATTATTTATCAAACAAAACGGAATTGATTTTCTCTTTATGTCACTGTTATATTTCAGTAAGTTTCTTTCGGGTGAACATATTGATGGGGTTTGTCTTATTTACCGAAAGGCGTCTTCAGACATATTTAGAGAATAAGTTATTGATTGTTGGAAACTTATAGGATTCAAATACCGACATGATTTTGTTAGGGGTGTTCTTTTTTATATGTTTAAGCATGTATAGTTATGTCTGAAAAAAAGAGACGCTTTTGAATTTTTTGACTGATTCACAGAAGGAGAGATAGACTCTTATGTCAGCTGATGTTCTAGTGTATGGATGAGTAGGAGGAAAACATGTTTGTGTCGACTTGATCGGAGTTTTTTTATTTGGTGGAACTGAGGACTACAGGTTTTACTATAGGACAAATATCTCTTATAGCCGCTTCAACTAAAATGGTCAAGCATGAGAATGTGCGTTTTGACAATCGACATGCTTTTATATTATTTTTTTTTCATACATTTGGTTTTGTAACACTAAAAGTTGTGTCTCTTTTATATAAAGTGCAAAGACTCGTGCATAATAATATTAAGTCATTTAGGATAATGAATGTAATATTTAAGAAAATTAATTTTGCCATCTAAAAAAAATTGTGGGATAGTTTGTTGCACGTTTTTCTATTAATTATGAATAATCTTAATTGGTAATTGTTTTTAATATATATATATATATATATATATATATATATATATATATATATATATATATATATATATATATATATATATATATATATATATATATATATATATATATATATATATATATATATATATATATATATATATATATATATATATATATATATATATATATATATATATATATATATATATATATATATATATATATATTTGATTGAAGTTTACTATGGTCGAACGGTAGCTTCTGGTTCGACATGAATTAAGCATGAGGTTGAAGTATGTTCGCATGCTGCTGTCGGAGTAATACGTGTTGTATTCGAAGTTTGTTCTAACATGCATTAATCAATATTGCTAGTGTTGTTAGCATGTTGAATTTGGCATTGCTTGTAAGCCCAATTGTGTAAGTTAGCTTGTACCCTAAGTTAGCATGTAATGGATAATTGTTAAAAAGCCCATTAGATTAGTGTGTTATTTTTTCTTATAAATAGGATGTTAGTTTCTCAATATTGGCATAAGGAAAAATAGGAAGATAAAATCCTAATTTCAAGAGAGAGAGGTTATTTTGTTATTCTTGTATGCTTGTAATCTTGTTCTAAGAGAAAGTAAAAAATAGCAGTTTAATAACTAGTCCTTGTTGTTCCTTGTTGTTATACCTCGTTTTCTTTGTTAACCCTAACCCTTTTGTGTTTCTTGATCAAGAAGAAACCATTTATACTTTGTTATAAGGTATTCAATTCACAACAAATTGGTGCGGTGAGCGTGGAGAAGATGCCTTCAACAAAGTATGAGATTGAAAGTTCACCGGAGTGAACGACTTCGGTCTGACGCTTAAAGATGAAAGCCTTACTAGTTCAGCAGGGTTGTTTGGAAACGTTGAAGGGTGAGGCAGCCATGGACGCTGTGTTAACGATAAAAGAAAAGACGAGCATGATCGAGAAAGCCCACAACGCAATATAGTTGAGCCTTGGTGATAAGGTTCTTTGACAGGTATCAAAGGAGACTATAACATCGGGATTATGGGTGAAACTTGAAAGTTTGTATATGACCAAATCTTTGGTGAATCGACTCTACCTGAAGCAAGCTTTGTATTCATTCAAGATGAGTGGAGACAAAGTGTTGGCTGAGCAGTTGGATATGTTCAACAAGCTGATTCTTGATCTTGAAAATGTTGATGTGAAGATCGATGATGAAGATCAAGCAATGTTGTTGTTGTGTACTTTGCCCAGAACACATGCTCACTTCAAAGAAACTCTCTTGTATGGAAGGGAGTCCCTGACCTTTGAAAAAGTTTAATCAACCTTGTATTCTAAGGACTTGAACGAACGAATGGAGCATAAACCTTCAATGGTGGACGAAGGATTGGTTGTTAAGGGAAAATTCTTGTAAAAGGATGGTAAGTTCGACAAGAAGAAAGGTAAAAGTCAACAAAAGTCTTATAGAGGCAAAACATCTGGTATTCGATGTTATCACTGTAAGAAGGAGAGTCACACAAGAAAGGTGTACCCTGAACGCCTGAAAGATCATGGAGGTAATGGCAACGCAGTCATTGTTCAAGATGACTTCGACTCATCTGATGTTCTTGTGGTTTCAAGTGGCGACTCGGGAAAAGAGTGGATTATGGATTCAGGTTGCACTTAGCACATGACTCCAAATAGAGAATTGTTCGAGGAGCTATGTGATCAAGATGGTGGATTTGTGATGCTGGGAAACAACAAATCTTGCAAAATTGCAGGTATTGGATCTGTGAGATTCAAGCTCCATGATGAGTCAATAAGGTTATTGACTGAAGTCAGGTATGTGCCTGACTTGAAGAGAAAGTTTATTTCTTTTGGTGAATTCGACAAAAAGGGATATTTTTGAAGGAGAGAAAAGTATCATAAGAGTCATGAAAGGGTTGAAGGAAGTCTTGAGAGGCGTGAAGAAACAAGGCTTGTATACCCTTGAACTGAGGTTGTAAGTGGTTCGACAAATGTTGCATCCAAGAAACCTGTGTCGAAGAAAGAATTATGGCACATGAGATTCGACCATGTCAGCGGAAGAGGCCTGGTCGAATTGGGGAAGCAGAACTTGCTAGGAGGTGACAAAGTTGAAAAGTTTGAGTTTTATGAATCTTGTGTATTTGGTAAATCCTGTAGGGAGAAGTTTAACAAAGAACACATGGATCCTTGGATTATATTCATGTTGATCTTTGGGGGCCTGCAAGAAATCCTTCACACTCAGGTGCAAGGTATATTCTATCCATCGTTGATGACTATTCCAAAAAGCTATAGGTATTCATTAAAAAGACAAAGGATGAAACTTTTGAGAATTTCAAAAGTTGGAAGATTCTGGTCGAAACTCAAACTGGCATAAAGGTCAAGAGGTTGAGAACCGACAATGGCCTTGAATTCTGCAACGAAGCGTTTGACAATTACTGTGTTGAATCTGGATTGCAAGGCATAAGACTGTAGCAAATACTCCTCAACAAAATGGCTTAGCTGAGAGATTCAGTCGAACAATTCTTAAAAGGGTTAGATGCATGTTGGTTAGTGTTGGATTGAAGAAAGTGTTTTAGGCAGAAGCGGTTTTGACAATAGCTTACCTGATAAATAGATGTCCCTCGACTGCCTTGGGAATGAAGACACCTGAAGAAGTTTAGTCGGGATATCCACCTAGTCTCGACAAGGTCAAACCTAGAACTCTGAAATGCATGTTCATGGGATACCCTGAAGAAGTCAAAGCTTATAGGCTATGGTGCCTAGATCCAGGTCACAGGAGATGTATCACCAGTCGAGATGTAGTTTTCAATGAAGCAAAGATGGCTTTCAAGAAAACTGATGATGATGATGAAGAGCTGGAATAGGGAGAGATTCTTGTTGAGGTAGAGCATGTTGATGCTGAATTGCGTACCCCAGATGAAGTTGAAGAAGACGTAGAAGATGTTGTCGAAGATGAGGAGACTGATAATGACTACCTGTTATCAAGAGATAGGTCGAGGAGAGTCATCAAGCCACCTCAGAGACTTGGGTATGCAGATCTTATAGCTTATGCCTTAATCTCTACAAGTGAGGTTCTAGATGAAGAACCTATAGACTATAAGAAAGTTATGAGGAGTCGAAAGAAGACTGAATAGTTGAAGGCCAAGGATGATGAGATGAAATCTATTTATGATAACAACACCTGGGAACTGATCAAGAAACCTGATGGAGCCAGGTTAATCAGCTGTAAATGGATTTTCAAAGTTAAGGAAGGAATCGAAGGAGTGGTGTCGAAAAGATACAAGGCAAGATTGGTTGCTTGGGGTACACTCAGAAAGAAGGTGTCGACTTTAATGATGCGTTCTCTCCTGTTGTGAAGCACATATCCATTCGAATGTTGCTTGCCATGGTGACCTAGTTCGACCTTGAACTGGAACAGATGGATGTGAAGACTGCGTTCTTATATGGTGATTTATATGAAATAATCCTAAGGAGGCAACCTGAAGGGTATGTCGAAAGGGGAAAGGAAGATTATATGTGCAAATTGAATAGATCTTTATATGGACTGAAACAATCTCCTCGACAGTGGAATAGAAGATTCGACAAGTTCATGGCACGCATAAGTTTCATCAGAAGTCAGTTCGACCATTATGTTTACTTCAGATTTCAACCGAGTAATTCATTTGTTATTTTGTTGCTCTATGTGGATGATATTCTAATAGCAAGTGACAATGTCGAATATGTAATGAGGGTGAAGGATGAACTCAATAAGGAGTTTGACATGAATGATCTGGGAGCTGCGTCCAGGATTCTTGGGATTGACATCCGAAGATATAGAAAGCAGTCGAAATTATGCTTATCTCAAGAGGCATACCTACAGAAGGTCTTCGAAAAGTTTGGTATGTCGAATTCAAAGTCTGTCGTGACTCCGATAAACCCTCAATTCAAGCTGAGTATAGATCAGTGTCCCAACACTG